GCTCTTGGTCGTATTCCCTTAAAGGAATCTATTCCTGATTCCAAGCCTTGAGCTCTACCCCGGGCCCAGGAGTCTGGCCTTAACAGGTACGTTTTTTGGGGTATAGGACGTTAGACGGCTGTCCGTGACATTATCCCCTACGACCAAAGGCCTAGGCTACAATGTCACAGAGAGCCGTCTAACGTCCTAGGGGGCAACTCCCATGGCTATGGTAGAGTTGGTACTTCGTGCTCGCCATAGGTTTCTGGCATGCACACCCCTCAGCATGGTGGCATGGGTATACCGATTTCCAATGCATTTTGTTCTGATGTTCTTGTCTGACCTGCTGCACAACATATCAACAGATGATCCGAAACTGATCCACCCTCTTAAAACACCCACCAGGAAGAAACGCATTATTTCACTCCTTTCTCTCAGACTGACGCTTTTCTGAATTTCAGGACAAAATCTAAAAATCTGCGATCAGCGATCAATGAAGAACAAAGAGACACATTTTTAAGAAGGATTTTTGAGTTGACATCAGACCATAATCGTGGTTATTAAGTTGGCTTGAGAAAGCCAACTTACTGAAATCCGTCTTAAACTTATTATGTTGGCTTGGTGACAAGCCAACATACTGTTATGCTATTTAAACTTCTTCTTATTATTATTCTTATGAGCCATTTTTCTAAACCTATCTCCTCCTAGGGCTTTAATGCCACAAGCCCCAAACTCGGCAGGGACCAGGGCCCTGATTGCGTGAAGTGTGCTATATCTTTTCAGACTGATCAGACTTACAGTTTATTTATAAATAATTTTTAAATATGAAAAAATCCCCATAGACTTACATTGTCTGAGAAAAATTGCGCCTCTAGAGAAGCAATACCCGTCCTCTTGAGGGAGGAGTCTTCCAACTCATCTTAGTTTCACTTTAAAAACGGTTCAAAATACCAATAAATACATGAATTTCATTCACACTGACAAGCTAAACCAACATATCTGATTATTACCTGCTTCAGGGCTCATTAATAATGACTGTTTGGCCAGAGAACCGTGTGAAACACGAGAGAACTGTCACCGCACCGATCAGCGAGTGCAGTCCGTGCTTGCTCACAACAACAGCATTTGGACTTGTTTAAGAGCCTTTAAAAATCAAC